GACCCTGTTGAGCTTGACTCTAGTCCTAATTGGATTATATATATATATATATATAGTTACCTTGTTTATAACCTCAGTTACTAAGTCCCATGATCCTTTAAGTATATCCTAAATCCGAAAACCCTAAACCGTGTCCTGCAAGGCGCAGGCACTGAGCATGCTGAAGAGGCGGATCACTTTCTGCAGGAAGGCCTCCAAACCCAGAGACTCCCAAATCGGTGTAAGGCTTTAGGCTTTGGGTTTCAAGTTGTGCTGTTTAGGGCTTTAGGGTTTAGGGTTTGGGGTTTAGGGCTTTCGGTTCTTGAGTTTCCGGGTTTAAAGTTCTACCGTGGCCTAAGCACCTGCTTTAACGGCTGTTGCAGACTTTTGTAGTCTTATAGACTTATAGGGATATGCTCTACTCACTTTTAAGGCCCTTTTAGAAGGGTGCCGTACTATTTTTTCGCGGCCCGAAAAAGGACCCTAATTCAGAGGACTACCTAGGGATTAAATGTTCGGGCACAGAGCTTCGGGAGGTTCTCAAAGTTCTTAGATGAGGGTGGTTGAAGACTTTAGTAGGGGCTGAGTACCCTAGCCCAAAAAAGGTTAACCTTTGCGATAATAGTAGAATTATATCAGGCCCAACAGGTCAAAACTTATCTACTGAGCCCTTAAGCTTCTTGTAACTTCAGTAGTTTCGTTTCGGCACTATACGGGTTTATCTGGTTGCTCTGAGGTCGAAAACTCACAGGGGAAGTATACTAAAGGCCCCATCATACGAAGGCCTCTTCTAAAGATTCTCAAGAGGAGCATGGCTGAAGTGAGAGATTGTGTAGGGTGTCGCAAACCGACGGTTCGTTGGTAAAGACTAGCTAGACATAGCGATCTTACGTTGGGTATAGGGTACAGACCTAGGGTTTAGGGGAGATTGCAGACCTGCACGGAGGTACCCGCTTTAGGTCCCAAGCACCACACCCGGAATGGCGCGCTCAAGTGCCGGCGCACCACCGAAGTAGGAACAACTAGCAATGGCATTCCCTTGTATAGTCCCGGTTTTCTGTACTCGAGCAATAGTGTATGCTGTAATGCAGCAACAAGCTTCTTGTAGTAGTCGGTTCGTGACCACCCGGACACTAGCTCCACAACTTCGCCATGGAGCAAAATGCTTTAAACGAGAGAGAGAAGAAACAAAAACAAAAACAGCTGACTTCATAAGGACCCCCACAAACCATAGAGGCCCTGATAGACGTCTGTAACAGCCATTAGATAAGTGGCTTGAGGGATCCCCGAGGGCCCTAAACCCGAAACCCTCAAACCTTAAATCCTACTTAAAGGATCATGGGACCTCGTGACTCAGGTTATCAATACGGTAGCCATACGCATAATCACGTATAGCCCCAAATGAGGTACTTATAACCTTCCTAAGTCCCATGATCCTGCAAGTAAACCCCAAACCCTAAAGCTCGTATACCCCTACAGCCTTTCTGAAGCCCTTCAAAGGAACCCTCAATTAAATCCCTTCAGGATATACCTAAACCCTCAATCCCAAAGCCCTGAAACCCTGAAGCCCGTACCCTAAAACCCTCGAACCCCTTAAACCCTCAAACCCTACACCCCAAATCCCGATAAAGCCCTTACCCTAAAACCTAAACCCCCAATCCTAAAAAGCCCTTTCCGTAACACCAAAAACACCCTCAATCCTAAAGCCCTAACCCTGAAACCCTAAACCCTAAACCCTAAAAAGCCCTAAACCTTAAAACCTTAAAGCCCTAAAGCCCTAAAGCCCTAAAGCCCTAAAGCCCTAAAGCCCTCAAGCCTCAACCCTAAACCCCTAAACCCCTAAAACTAAACCCTAAACCCTAAAACCCCTCCCTAAACCCTAAAACCCCAAAGCCCTCATCCCTAAACCCTAAACCCTAAACCCTAAACCCTAAACCCTAAACCCTAAACTACCGGGCCTGGCCTCGACTTCGGCATCGCTGGCCCCAGTGCCGCGGCAGAAGGCCACAGCAGAGGCCGCAGCGCCGGACCAATCCTCACCGTCAGCGCGAAGGGTTTAGGGTTTAGGGTTTAGGGTTTAGGGTTTAGGGTTTAGGGTTTAGGGTTCTGGGGTTCAGGGTTTAGGG